TTCTCTAAAAACGGATTGATGTGAAACGTACTAGCTTGTTGTACTACATTGTTGAAATTAAACTGAAGAAATGCGGTCGAGAGGTACTTCTGTTTCTTCGAGTTAACACTATGGTATTAAGATTTATTTCGCCCCTGATCCAGAATGTATTTTGTAAATGTATTTGGTTTTTCGTCACCTTTCAACAAATAAAGTGTTGCTGTTGTTGTATTAGAGCGTGCATGTACATTAGCTGTCAATATTAATTTATCTTCAAACAGTTCCAATACATTTGAAACTAGGAGGGATGGAACTAAATATTGTGTGTATTAATTGTAAATATATTTTATTATTTTACTACGATAGTACGCCATGTATTATAGCTTGTGCACATTGATCTGTTCTGCCGTCCATCGGGGCGGTCATTTTGTCTTTGCGTGACTCAACTCTTAATGAAATTAATTTGATGGGATGGAAAGATGACATGCCACGGTCCAACAGAATATCAGCTGGTTTATCATAGTAAAGGCTTGTACTCTATTTATCTGTTCCTCGTAAATACAATCAAATCATGAGCCAGTTTTGTCCCTGTTCACTGTTGCACATTGTAACATCTAGCCTATGTGTATTTGTTCTGTTAGTTGTTAATAAATGTTGTTGAAAGTAAAACCAAGCCATGTTGTGTTTTATATTTATGTATTGTGTTATGTAATCTTGTCTTTAGTGTTTATAATCAGGTGTTTTGAGATCATAGTTAAAATTATGGAATTCTGAATCAAATAAATACCCATAGGGGGGGTCACAGTGGCGCAGTGGGTAGCACGATCACCTCACAGCAAGAAGGTCGCAGGTTCGAGCATCGGCAAGCAGTTCTGTGTGGAGTTTGCATGTTCTCCCAGTGTTCACAAGGGTTTCCTCAGGGTGTTCCGGTTTCCCTCACAGTCCAAAGACATGCGGAACAGGTGAATTTGGTAGGCTAAAATTGTTTATAGTGTATGTGTGTGAATGAGAGTGAATGGGTGCTTCCCATTGATGGATTGCAGCTGAAAGGGAATCCGCTGCATAAAACATATGCTGGATAAGTTGGCGGCTCATTCCACTGTGACCGCTGATAATAAAGGGATTAAGGGGCCAAAAAGAAAATGATTGAATGAATGAAAACACGGTGATGTTTGAGACAAAATAAATATTTGTGAACACCAGGACATATTGAAATAATTTCTTCATGCAAACATTTCCAAATAAACTTAAATCATTATTCATTTTTTGCATTTAGAAAGACTTAGTAATAATAAAAAACATTTGTAAATGGGTCTCAGACTTTTGTACTAGGGCTGCAGACATTGTTAAAATCTAACATTGTGATATTTTGTTATTGCATTATATATATTACATATATTTTGTTATTGCATTATATATGCATCATGTTGTATTAATATCGCAATATATAACACACACACACACACATATATATATATATATATATATATATATATATATATATATATATATATATATATATATATATATATATGTTATATATTGCGATATTAATACAACTTCAGCAAATGACACCAGATGAATTCTGTTTGGTAAGAATTGATCATTATAGTGGATTGATTGGGTTAATTCTGTCAGTGCGTAATAAACAATCTCTACAAGCGTAGATAAATACAATAAAGAAAAGATACGAATGAAATAAACTGTTTTCATTTATTAATATAAACATTTATTGTTTTTCGAGGAGTCTAACAGTATTCAGGTACATTAATCAAATGTAAAATAAAACTGAATAGTCTTTGTTGTATAAATAAATCAATACACTTAATCGTTATTAAGGTTACAGTTGGAGCAATTTCTTATGTGTGAATGCTTTTACAATTCTCAAACAATCACAGGCCTCAAAAATGCATGCAAATGAGGAATTATTATCCAGAATCAACATTGCATATGCTGCAATGACACTATTGTGAATGCTTACATTGCAATATCGATTAAAAGTTCAAGTTAAATTAAAGTTAAAATTAAATCGTTATAGTCGATGGAGATTGAATTTTAAATAAATAATTAAACTGATACAAACAAACAATAAGGTGATTTAATAACGTCGAAGATCATCTACAGAAAAAACTAATGTCAAAGAAATAATCCAGTCACCGAAGCGAAAGATGTGCCCATATATGAATAAATGGCGCCACCTACTGGATTTGTACTGAAATGGCTTCATCAAACCGTTATGATTTTTACAAGTATTAATCTATTCGTAAATCTTAAATTCATAAATTCACACAGTGTGCACATATAGACTAACAGCCAAATTTTACATTTAACAGGATGTAAAGTTGCTCATATATTATGCATATAGATGACTATCTAGTATCTAACAAATATTGAATATATGAATCCACCTATTTTGCTCCCATTCAGTGAATTCGGTGCCACATATAACCTTGTCCAACTATTTTTTACGTATCGTATTAGCAATTGTGTTTTTTCTGCAAAAAACGCTGCATTCTACATATTATTAATGATACAGTAAATTCACACACACTCACTATATATATATATATATATATATATATATATATATATATATATATATATATATATATATATATATATATATATATATATATATATTTCTTATATAAAGTTTTGATTTTAGATAATACACGACTAATAGCCTATATGTTTTCTTCCTGGGTTCAATGGGTTCAGTGTTATTGATATCGAATGGGCCTGCAGTGCCCTGCAACAAGAGTTTCTCCAACACGTGTGTAATTTATTCATAAAATGCTATATATTCAAGTGTAAAACGACTTACTGCCTTTTAATGGCTGAATGCCTCTCCATTTTTATCTCTCTATACCCCCTCACACATAAAAGAGAGGAAGAAACTGTCACCAAAAAATGCAACCGAACTCTTTACCTACTTTCACAGCGATGGTAAAAACAAAGCATCATGGGAGCACGAGTCCTCTTCGCCGAGTTCCACCTTTGGAAGTTGTTACGGCTGGGACGCGACAGAACTACATTTCCTAGAATGCCATTTTCTGTACATTGGCTCATGTTATACATGGGGGAATATGAGAGCGGCGGAGGAACCGAAAGCGACAGCAGAATCCCTGGCGATAAGTATAGCGATAAATAGTGGTCGTGAAATGGGGGGAATTCAATGCCCGATCACTCAAAACAGACTGTCGTAAAAGGAAAACCGTATTTTGGGTTGTATTTTTGTGTAAATATAAATTTGGCGTGGACCGGGGTAAGGCACCTCCCTGCTTGCTCTGCGCCGGGGTGTGTGCGTGTTTTTCGGGTAGGCTTCATCGCATCACCGCGCTGCAGTGTGTTACTGGAACCGAACTGAGGTGCCACGCCGCCGGTTACAGCTGCCCTGCGCCGTCGGCCGATACTATGTCAAAAACAGAGAGAGACAAAGTAACACTGCGAACCAATCCTACTGACCTATGCAATGCAAAAATGGCAACTTTGCTGTCTAACAGCTGTGGGTTGTAGCCATAAAGAAGTGCAAGAGTGCCGAAAAATATAGTGGAGATTTTTGTGCCTGAAATCTAAAAGGTGAGGGAAATCTTTGTCGCATCTCACTTCAGATGTAACTTTTCTTCAAGAAAAATGGGTCATACGTTGCATTGCATTGTTATAACTGAAATGCTCCAGTTTTATTTTTCATGAATGCTGAATGCTATTAAATGACAAGGGTTGTCTTTGTAATTTCATAAACTTTTAAACAGGTTGTTGTCATTGCTGTTGTTAAAGCATGTGTGTAGTTATCATCATTCAGCCATGTAATAACCATTGTTTTAAGCTTTTCAGCATGCTACATGTAATCTGAGGTGTTACAAAAAATCTGGTCAGCTCTTAAAGATGTAGTGTGCAGATGCTGCAAAAATAGTGACTATATTCAATCTGGCTGACAGCACTCCGAAAAGTTAGCTTTCACTTTTTGTGAAATTTTGGATATGGACTGAAAACTTGTGGGGAGCAAATATACATTGTCATAAGAGTTAACAGGAAGTGGAAAAAGGAAATGTATCCATAAGAAGAATGGCATGAAGAAGACCATCTCATTTCAAAAAAATTTGAAAGCTCCTTCAAATACCGCCTCCAAATGCGTACTTAGTTTTCCATACATTAAAGAACACGACCGGTGGACCCTTTGCTGCCTCAAACGTCCCAAGATTCATTGTGTGCTGATAACGGCAGGACGTTTTTTTAAAAACCCCAGATTAAATGTATGAATTATGTTTACTTTACTTGGATATTTAAACGCGTTAAAAAAACAAAAAGAGTTTGACATGTCTTACTAAAATGTGATTTTATAGACAGTTTACATTTTTATGTGTACATGTGCACCAGTTGACTCTGATGAACTCTGTGAGTTAGAGCTACTTGAACAAAACTTCAGACAAGTTTCCCTGAACACGTCCGCATTAACTATTGTCAGCTGGTCCCACACTTTTCTTTGGGAAACAGCCTTTGAATAATTAATTTGTGGTTTTCTCTGTATATAAATTTGGCATGAGGGCAGCACAGTGGCTAGGTGTTCTCACAGCAAGAAGGTCAGTGGTTCAAGTCCCGGCTGGACCAGTTGACATTTCTGTGTGTAGTTTGCATGTTCTCCCTGTGTTGGTGTGCATTTCCTCCGGGTGCTCCGGTTCCCCCACAGTCCAAAGACATGTGGTATAGGTGAATTAAATAAGCTAAATTGGCCATAATGTATGAGTGTTTCCCATTGCTGGGTTGCGGCTGGAAGGTTATTGGCTGCGTAAAACATATGCTGGATAAGTTTTATTTCCCAGTGGCTACCCCTGATAAATAAAGGGACTAAGCCGAAGGAGATGAAATGAAATGAAAATTGCACATCTTTTGTCGCAATGCAAAACGTGTCTCTATTATATTGCATTTTTAAAGAACTTTACAGCTTTACAGACTTAATCCAATAACCTGAACTTCTTTTTATTTGTCCGCAGCTTTGAAAAGCAGCGCAATAGGCAGCCCGCATGGAACGAGCAGGAAGCATCCAACTTGATATTCCGGACTTCAGCAACTCCGTCCTGTCGCACTTGAACCAGTTGCGAATACAGGGTCGTCTATGTGACATTGTTGTCAATGTTCAGGGCCACAGTTTTCGTGCCCACAAGGTGGTCCTTGCCGCCAGCTCCCCCTACTTCAGGGACCACATGTCACTGAGTGAGATGAGCACCGTGTCCATATCAGTCATCCGGAACCCAACCGTATTCGAGCAGCTCCTTTCGTTCTGCTACACAGGACGATTATGCTTGCAACTTGCCGATATCATCAGTTACCTGACGGCTGCCAGCTTCCTCCAAATGCAGCATATTATTGATCGTTGCACACAGATTTTGGAAGGCATCCACTTTAAAATCAGCCTATCAGATGTGGAAGAGGAGCTCGGGAATGGAGCTCATAGAACCACCAACCAAACCATTGAGTCGGGACGAGGTGGGACGACACTAAGTGGGTCCCGCTCCTTGAGTCCCAGACTCACAAGCTCCCGGTTGATTGGCAACACTGGGGTGATCAGCATCCGCGATGTGAGGGAAGTTCGAGAGATTAGTCCCCCTGGGGAGTCCATGAGCCCTCAAATAGTGGAGCACAGTGGCATTGGCTCCGAGGAGGTAGGATCTGGAAAAGAACCCATTCTTCGAATTAACCGAGCCGGGCAATGGTATGTTGAAACAGGACCTGAGGCAGAGAGAGGAGGAGAGGAGAACGTGCGGATGGTTGATGGGTTTCGGATTAAGACAGAAAGGATGGATGAGTGGATGGGGGCAGAGACCCAGGCTTCAGCGGAGGAAGGCAGTGGGGCAGAGGAGGGGCCGACAGTAATGATTGACACCTCAGGACGTAGCACACTAGTGCAGGAAGGAGGAAGAGGTGGGAAAAGTTCCCAGCCGTCCAGTAGCTTCAGTGAAACAGAGAGGTGTGTATGGCATCTAAAGGAAGTTCACGTTCAATTTTAAAAGTTTTTTTTTTTGTATAAGAATCTTATCGATGTAGATACAAACTTTCTTTTATGTTAAGGAACGTCAAGACACAGTACTTAAATGTATTTCACTTAGCTCAATAACACTTTTTCTGTTTTGTTTGGTAAAATTGTGAACCTGTACTTGTTTTTTTCCTCAGGTTTAGTCCAACAGGTAGTGTGGTGGTCATGGCTGATCGCCAGAGAGCCAAGAGTGAGTCTCCAGGAAGAGTTGACGATCAGAGACATCCCACCTCACAGGTAAGGCATCCCAAACATAGTTGTAATCAAAAGTTTACAATTACAACCCTTTAATTTCTTTAATACCTATAGATCGTTTCAAATAAATATTGGTCAGTCACACTTGCTGAGCAAATAAAAAAACCTTACAATTGTACCGCTGACAGAACAGGTGGTGTGCCTATGTTAACCTATGTTAGACCATTAACTTTTCACCCTTTTCCATACAGGGAGAGGAACAAGCTGTGTTTGACATGGGAGGATATGAGGAATACCTACGAGAACAGGTAGGTGACAGGTGGTTCCGCTACAACCCCCGTCTCACCTGCATTTACTGCTGCAAGTCCTTCAACCAGAAGGGAAGCCTAGATCGTCACATGCGCCTGCACATGGGCATTACCCCTTTTGTCTGCCGAATCTGTGGGAAGAAATACACCCGCAAGGACCAACTTGAGTACCACATCCGTAAGCACACAGGAAACAAGCCCTTTCATTGCCATGTCTGTGGCAAGAGTTTCCCGTTCCAGGCTATCCTCAACCAGCACTTCCGTAAGAACCACCCAGGCTGTGCCCCACAGGAGGTGTCCCATAGTGCCTCTCCCGAGACCACCACGGTCACCTCCCGTGGAGGACAGAACGAAGACGAGTCACCCAGCCAGGAGGAAGCTGAGGGCAATGGTGGAGGGGGAGGTGCTGGCTCATCCTTCGGAGAAGGGGTCCAACCGTCAGTCTCTACCACTGGGCCTGACTGAAAGGCTTTGACGAAAAATGTTACAAATTTAGGGAGACACAGGACAGCAGGGTCAAACAGGACCTTCTCTCTTGAGATCCGCCTGTCCCTTGTCTCCCAACATCCACACTGAAAGTTGCAATTTGGAAGAAGTTGAGTAAGCAGGAGGTTCTTTCAGCTACTGTCAAAAAGGAAAGGTCTAAAAAAAAAAAAGGGATAGTCTTAAGCGTCCCATTTGGACAAAGATCCTCTATTTTTTTCAATGATAACAAAGATGCAAGGAACAGTTTGCTAGGAATAGTATTCTCTAGGGATTTATAAATGGTATTTCCGCTTTAAACCGCATCTACCTTCACCATACAAACTGAACAGGACGTCAATATATGAAGACAAGCCACACTCCAACAACCTCACACACCACTGGATGCAGTGATTAATTTTGTTCGTTTGATTTGTTTTTAGTCTTTTCTGTCTTTTTATATGTTATGATTTTTTATATTTTTGTACTACTACAAATCTTTCAGGATAAACAAAAAGAGAAGCTCTAGCTATGATTTGGTCAAATTTAGTCAAAAATTGCCAAACTTCTCTGTGCCAGAAGTTGCATTTTAAAATGAGAGGACATCGTAGTCCTTCGCTATTTTGCCTTGAGACAATCTTGATAAATTAACCTGGGACTTGACTTTGTGCTCCCCAGTCATGGCAAGCTTAGGAAAACGGGTTCAGTTTTTTTTTTTATTAGGGACCCTCAGGTCTGACCTAACATAAGATTCTTAGTTTCTTTTTAAGTGCCGATCCGGCCTGCCATATAACTGAAACGCATTGCTCACACTTAGCCTCAACGCAAGGAAGTTGTAGAACTTAGGGTTTATAACCAGAAACACTCACATTGTTGTTTTACTGTTTAATGTAGGTGGTAATACTGTGATATAGGCACGCTGGTGAAAGGACAAGGGTCAAGCATAGCAGTGACATATTTATTTACTTTTTAATTTCCGTTAAGGCCTTCATACATCTCCAAACTCAACTACTCAGCTGCTGAATGTGGGCGATACAGTGATATAACACACAGGAAATCTTTCAACCTCAAATAAGCTACAATAGACCGCTCAGTTACCTCTCTCTCACATCACTACGCAATACCGATCTGTCACACGCAGATGTGTGGATGCACTCAGCCGAATTTTATGTTCATTGTTTAATTTCTTTCTTTACGTTGAGATTTACAAGCCTCACCAACTTGTTTTACAGATATTTTGTTTGTAAGAATGTTTTTGAGCAGGGGGAAGGGGTCCCAGAAGACGTAACCTTCTTCCTTTTATGTGTCAAGTCAAAAGAATTGAGTCTAGTGCGGAGACGAACCAAATGTGGACTTGGTTGTCAATGCCATTTAGGAAAACGGAAACCGTATGTCTGTGATGACTGGGGGAAAAAAAATTAAATGCCACGGAATGACTTTGAGTTTAAGTTTTCCCTTCATCTAATGGAAGGCACTTTAACCTTGGGGTCAAGTGCCTTTACACTTGGCTTATGAACAGATGTTTCCAGATGGTGCTATGACGTGAATTTACTGAAGCTCTCAGTAACCAAAGGAACTGAAACTTGGAAGTTCTTAAACCCTTGGGAGGGTGAACAGGAGAAAAAGAGATTACATCAGGCACTTAAAGAAAGGGTGGGGGTGTTTGTTTAGTTTTTGGAATACTTGTATATCTATATACATGTGTCACTTATGCATATTTAGACAAATTTATACATGTAATAACAACACAGAGGCAGTTTCGAGAACGATCAACAAAAGCAAAGGTGTTTAAGCGCAAGTCAAGCTGTTATTGTTTTTATAAGGCTGTGAATTACACTTGATTGCGACTGATTTTTTTATTTTTTAGGAAATGGTTATAAAAATCAGCTACTGATGTTTCCGATAGAGATTTTGTGCACCTCGCTTCATATCAAACACAGGTTGGAACTTACTTTTACCGTTACTCTCATCTGTGAACACAGGTCAGCAGGTAAACACTTCTTACAAATATCAGGAACTCTCTGTTTACTTTTGGTGTTGACCTTTTCGGTTTGTACCAAGCAGATTTTCTTACTTGGAACTCTAGCTCTGGGTAACTTGGGTCGACATATTTCACGAGTGCAGCGAGAAAAAAAAAAAACATGAATATTTTCACTCAATGTAAATAGCCATGCCTCAGAAGCATCCGCATTGAAATACAATTCTGAAACAGTATGATTTCACGTTTGTTGTACAGTTAAGAACCCAGGTAAATAGAAGAGCATGTTGATATTGCTTTTATTTGTCACAATGCAACCTCATGATAAGGGCAGATGAGTATGTCTGTAAACAACAACATAATCACAATCTAATATGTTATAATATATCAAGCAAATAGGTTCTTTTAACGCCTTTACGTTTAAATTTAGATTTGGGGCATGAGCCTGTTTTGTGTATGCCAATCATATAAGGGTGATAGTGACTTAAATTATCTCTATGTGAATGAATTAACTGCAATTTAATATCAAGGGATCTATATCTATAATCAGTCATTCCGATTGTTATTGAGCTGCACCTTTTAGCAGTCTAAATTTAATCATGTTAATTTGGGTTTCAGGGCTTATGATAACTTTTTAGCATGTTTCCCTAATGTTGACCTTCGAAACATTGATGGTTGACCAACCTGTCTGTTTTTGTTCAACTATATTATTCATTCTAATATTATGTGTTTGGCTTTTGTATGTTTTTCAAGCTTTAAGAGGATAAATGTGTTGCTACGGTGTATATATTAGCCTGTAAAATGTAATGTTTCTCTATGACAATACATCTACTGCAGTTCAATTATTGACTGATCAAGTCAATCCTAACCAAATTATGTCTAATCTTAACACAGTGTTATTGAATGTGTAGTTACATATGGAACAACATTGAAGCAATATTTCGGCCTATTTCCAGATGAAAGGGTGCAGAATGAAAATGCACTTGTGCAAACGGCGACCAGTCGATTTCAACATGAAAAACTTGTTACGCGTTTATGCATATTGCAATACCTGCCAACACTTCCATTTTTTCTGGGAGTCTCCCGTATTTCAGACCCATCTTCCTTCACCCTCTCATTTTGTTACTTCTGGAAAACTCCCATCATTTTTTATACTGTAATCGTGGATTCACACGGGGCTTCAGCGTCAGTGCTTGACTGAGGGTGTGTCTGAAGTTGGGGCTGACACGATCAGCCAATGAAATTAGTCCACAATAGGCTACTTTCTGAGCTGGGGTATTTACTGAAGCGTCAGCCAATCAGATTGCTTTATGCAAAGTTGAGAAATCCCGAACTTCTGCAGCAAGCAACGCCGCTGAATTGGCGCCGACGGATCCACAATTCAGTTCGGCAACGCTTGATGTCAACTATTCTAAGTAAATGGGAATCGTTGACACCCACTGTGAATGGTGTGTGACATCCACGGGTCGCCGACTTTGGTATAGTATCCGATCGCATCGGTTGCCCGAAACCCGGTGCATAGTACAGTTACTTACCCAGTTCTCAGCCTAACACCAAACCGCCCACTGTGGGTTCCCGGATTTTCAGAGACAAATGTTGGCAGGTATGATATTGGCGAATGGGATAAAATTCTATCTGTGCGATCACATTTACCTCATGTTTATTTGTTTTTTTTTCATGGTCCGCCTTGTGAAACGTGATAAAGTGCATGTCTCTACTTAGTCGTTTTTTGTTATTTTTTGGGGGGAGGGAAGTCCGACTGACAAAACTGAGCCATATCTTCAGAGTTTGTTCAGTCTTGTCGTGAGTCCCTCTGGAGCAAATATTTTGTACAAGCAACACATTTCAGAAGAGGACACTTCAATAGCCTACATATATATATTTCAACTCTTAGTCTGTCTGAATAAGCAAACAAGCAAGTGATGCAGTGTCAAAAAAAAGTCAATTGTTTTGTTTTTACCTCAAAAGAGTCTTTGTACAAGGAAACAAGACATTGTTCTTCTACTGACCTTCAGTAGGAATTGTTTATTTGCATGTTGTCTGTCTTTTGTAATGGCCAAACATAAAGACAATTCCAGGCATCTAAATTTGCACCAACAGAAGCCAAAATATTGACCTTTTACGAGTTGTCATGCTATATTGTTTTATCTTGTAAAAGCAATATAGTCTGTAAAGTTCTTTCCATGTGTCTTAGAAGATTTAATCACTTTAATTTAAACCATACTTCAGAAAATATCTTATTTTACAAAACCACGATAAAGCAAAAATATTTTATTCTTGGGAAAAAAAAAGGTCCAAATTCCAAAACACGAGAATAGTTGTCTTAAAATTTTAATAGTAGACCAATATATTTATTGAGATAGCAAATGTTTTAAAAATTAAGAAATTATATTGATAGGCAATTAAAGTATATTTACTTATTTGAGATTAATCTGCGTTTATGATTGCTTTAAATTTGCATTTCAAATGGTACAGGAATCAGAAAGTTTAATCATTAATAATGTGAATGCCATCTTCACGATAACCACTATGTTTATTTTTGTTTCCTTACTGGCAGTGTGTCAAGTCCATTCTTCTAAATAGAAATAAAGCACTTTAAGTGTAACTGTGAAGGATTTTTAATTATGTTCTTTCAATGTATAATTATGTAAGCCCAGATTGTGTGATACTGCTAAACCCAAATTTCTAATATGAAAAAAAAAATAAACCTGTTTTATCATTGTCCTGTGTCTGTACATATTCCTTACTTAGCTTTATTTCCGAAATCATCTCCCCAACCTATTGCCGTGTTTGTTTCCAGTGCTTTCTTGGTATACTGACAAAAAATAAAGGTACATATTGGGACCAATTAAAAAAAAAAATCATTCTTAAGCGATGATGGAAGGAATAAAGCAGCCTAGGCAAGTTAAGCCTAGACAAGGACGATCAACAATTGTCCTCAGTGCCAGATCCATATTAGCTGCTCCTGCATGGATTTGCGACTCGACCGGTGAAGATCAAGGCATTGATACTAGACTCACGAATA